GGACAAGCTTTTTATTCGATTACACATTTATGAGCTACACTGGCAGTCACTTTTAACGGGGAAACGAATAAAACTTTCTCATGAAAATTTTACTGCCACTTTCAGAATAATCTTTAATTTGATAATTTTAATAAAGACAGTGAATTAGGGTTTGTTTACAGAGTCTCACATTGTGGAAGTTGTAGTTGCAATAATTATTGTGTAAAATATAAAATAATTTATTATATGTATAATTAGGAAGATTGGAGAAAATTTTGTTGTGTTATTTTGAGGTACCAGTTTTTTAATAATTTTATTAAAAATTGTAGTAGTAGTTTATAATAAAACTAAGACAACTTCAAAAATATACAAAATTAAATTTAATGAATAAAGTAATTTTAACGAATTTAGTTGCTCACTATAAATTAGTATTGCATTTGTGTCTACAAAGTAACTATAATTTATTCCTAATTTGCTAATTATGCACAACTTTGTTGCTAAATTAATATTTTTTTGAAAAAGTCGATAGCTGAAGTTGGAAATATTCGTCCTACAGTAGAAGCTCACATTCTTAGCTGATAAAGTTAAAGGATATTTTAGGATTCCAGTGGTTTCTTATCTTTGTAAGGCACTCAGAGGGATAAGAACAAACAGAAACATAGTTTTGAAGCAATTCCTCCAGCACGGCGATTGCACGATAAAACTCATTTGTTATCGATAAGCGTCCTGTGTTTTCCTGCGGATTCCTTAATTGCATGCAGTGGAAAGCGATGCAATATCTTTGATCTGCTGCATATTTACACGCAAGTTAATATGTATCTTGTTGCAACGCGGCTTTCACATCGTACAAGAAAGCTGTATATACGTATTTAGTTATGGGCATTTGGTATTTAAAGTTGGAGACGCTTTCTTAATCTGCGGTCAAGTATTTACAACTTTTTATGGTTTTAAGCCATTACATTTTCAAATTTATTTAGTCTTTATATTTTGTGATCTTCAAGTCTCTAACTTTAAGTCTTAATTCCCCAGATTCCAAATTCCAAATTCCAAATTCCTCAAATTCCCCAAATTTCAAATTCCCTAAATTCCAAATTCCAAATTCTCCAAATTCCAAATCTCTCAGATTCCAAATTTTCCAAATTCCAAATCTCCCAGATTCCAAATTCCCCAAATTCCAAATCTCTCAGATTCCAAATTCTCCGAATTCCAAATCTCTCAGATTCCAAATTCCTCTTCAAATTCCAAATTTTCCAAATTCCAAATTCTCCCAATTCCAAATCTCTCAAATTCCAAATTCTTCAAATTCCAAATTTTCCAAATTCCAAATTCTCCCAATTCCAAATCTCTCAAATTCCAAATTCTTCAAATTCCAAATTTCTCAAATTCCAAATTCTCCAAATTCCAAATCTCTCAAATTCCAAATTCTTCAAATTCCAAATTTTCCAAATTCCAAATTTCTCAAATTCCAAATCTCTCAAATTCCAAATTCTCCAAATTCCAAATCTCTCAAATTCCAAATCTCTCAAATTCCAAATCTCTCAAATTCCAAATCTCTCAAATTCCAAATTCTCAAATCCCCACATTAGCACTTCCTCAAATTATTACACCTTCAAATTACCACGTCCCAAATCCCAAAATTGTCAACCTTCAAAATTCTCTATCGTATTGATACCCAAATCTCCAAGCATCCACATCCCCAAATATTTCCCAAATCCCCCAAATTCCCTTGTCCTCCCTGAATTTCCCATAATCCCCCAAATTCCCTTGTCCTCCCTGAGTTTCCCATAATCCCCAAAATTCTCCAGAATCTCCCAAATCTCCACTAAAATCCGAAGACCACCGTCCAACAAAATCTTCCAACATGTCTAATATCGATCCTCGAAATCGATCGAGTCGATCGCTAGCTTATCGCTAGTTGCACCTCCCGGGTTGTATCAGCAACTCTTCCGGCGCTAATTATCGTAGCGTGTTGACCCTGGGAGAGTTGCAGCGAACGATAAGAGGCAACAACCGGGGCAAGTTAATCGGGGCCAATGGGATCGCAAGGGGGAAACGTAAGGAAAGGAAAAGAGTCAAGGCGAGGCCTACAGTCGTTGCACTCGTTAGAGTATTCGTTAAGCCGATCGAAAGCTGTGCCGACGATCAAATAGATTCAGTGAGAACCATGTTAGGGGATCCGTGAGAATACTGACATGTTTCTTCTATGCAACCTTGTTGCTGGAAAATTACCGCATCTCGTCTTATAAATCTAGATTTCTCGCTGATTTATTACCGCAATGTCTTAATTATTTCTCATTAGGATATCTCGACGCGATATCGATAACATCGCGATTTCATGGTTTCGTTGATACGAGCTTTCAGGGTAAATTTGTTACGATGCGAAAACTCGGCGTTTCGGGACGATGAGTATCTACTATGAACTTGAAAATCACTCATTCTTGCATGGTTTTCATTAGGTGACGATCTGTGAGCATCAGATAATCAATTACAGATCAATCTAGTTCAGAATCATTGCAGTAGACTCGAAAGATAAACTTGAATGTCATTTTGGTTCAGATTTTTTTTTAAGTGACAATCATGGGGAAAAGTGAAGCATTAAATGTTGCATATTTTATATAATATCTCTTTGAAATGATTAATTGTTCCAAGCTATGTTGTTTTTATTTAAGATATTATGTGGATGACAAGGTTTATGTGGATGACAAGGTTTATGTGGACGACGTAGAGAAAAATATATTTAACTGAAGAATGTGGAGTAGGTTGTAAAGTTCCTCTGAGATATTCATTCAAGAAAATATTTGGTACTTGTCAGTTACAACCAACTATTGATCTTTCGCGAAAGAACTTGAAGAACTATCACATCCTCACGGAAGACTGCTTCGAAAGAATGTCCCTTTTCTGCAAATAGTGTAATCGTATCTCTCTACACGATATATCTTTATGTCGATACGAGGAATAAAGAGGAAAGAACTGTTCACGACTCTTGCGGTTTCTGCAGCGCCGATAAAATCCGCGTGTATCATCGTTTGCATCATTGGGTTTACGTAATTCTCTTCGTCATATTTATTTCAACTCGAGCATTAAATGGCGTCGTGTTTGAGTTTATGGTATAAATTAGCACCGCGGCGAACACAGATGAATAATTGTGCACCGTGCGTAACGTTAAATCGATAAAATATGAAGGTTAAATCGCCAGTTACATACAAACTGTCGCCACTATCTTGTACTCCCAGTTTACATGTGCTTTATGAATTAACGATGATGAAAGAACATTATTATTGCTTTGTTACTCTGTTATTCACTGGGGTAATGTTACTGTTATTGATGTAGTATTACTGTTATTGATGTGTGGATTGTAGTGATGTGTGGATGTGGGTAAGTTGGGAGTATAGGAAAGCATATATGGAGTGTAGGGAAGGATGATGTGGAGGAAAGTTTAAGGAGGATGTGGGATTTGGAGCAAATGATATGATATAAATGATATGTAATTTAGGGAGGATGTGATATGAGGAATTTGTGGAGAGTATGAGATTAAAGGACAATGTAGAGTTTAGGGAGAAGTTAGGACCAATAGAAGGTAGATCTTTAGAGCACCGATGATATATGAAGGTTTTGGGTCTGTGGGAGATGGAATATGGGACATGTGGAACCTAGGACACATGGAACCTAGGAAATGTGGAGCCTAGGACACATGAAACTTGGGACATATGAAACCTGGAACCTGTGGAGGACCTAGGACGTATAGAACCTAGAATATCTAGAGGATGTAAGACTTATAGAACACAGGATCTATGGAATCTAGGATCTATAGAACCTAGGACTTGTAGAGGACCTAGGATCTATAGAGATCTGTGATCTATGGAACCGGGGACCTATGGAACCGGGGACCTATGGAACCGGGGACCTATGGAATCGGGGACCTATGGAACCGGGGACCTATGGAACCGGGGATCTATGGAACCTAGGACCTATGGAACCCAGGTCCAATGGAACCTAGTACCGATGGAACCTAGTGCCGATGGAACCTAGTGCCGATGGAACCTAGTGCCGATGGAACCTAGTACCGATGGAACCTGGTATCGATGGAACCTAGTACCGATGGAACCTAGTACCGATGGAACCTAGTACCGATGGAACCGAGGACCTATGGAACCTAGGTCCAATAGAACCTAGTACCCATGGAACCTCGGTCCAATAGAACCTAGTACCCATGGAACCTCGGTCCAATAGAACCTAGTACCCATGGAACCTCGGTCCAATAGAACCTAGTACCCATGGAACCTCGGTCCAATAGAACCTAGTACCCATGGAACCTCGGTCCAATAGAACCTAGTACCCATGGAACCTCGGTCCAATAGAACCTAGTACCCATGGAACCTCGGTCCAATAGAACCTAGTACCCATGGAACCTCGGTCCAATAGAACCTAGTACCCATGGAACCTCGGTCCAATAGAACCTAGTACCCATGGAACCTCGGTCCAATAGAACCTAGTACCCATGGAACCTCGGTCCAATAGAACCTAGTACCCATGGAACCTCGGTCCAATAGAACCTAGTACCCATGGAACCTAGGTCCAATAGAACCTAGTACCCATAGAGAACCTAGGTCCAATAGAATCCACTACCTATAGAACCGGTGACTTCTCTAAAATCCAGCTCCAACAGAACCTTGAACCCCCAGAAAACCTATCACCCACCGAACCTCTCACCCACAAAACCCATAACCCACAAATCCTACAAAACCTGACCTTAAACCCCCCAAAGAACATACAAAAACCCAGATAACCATAAAGGAGATACATAACGACAGCGAAAGAAAATGTAGGCTGCACCGGCAGTAGAAACTTCCTGTAATAACAATTCCATTAGTCATCCGTTATGATAAATGTTCCTCTAGATCATTCGTAACGAGCCTCTCCGCGTACTAATGCAAAAAGCAAATACCTTTTTTCATTACCGGCAGCTTTCCCTTTGATTAATATCCTTTAACTAATGATAGGTTGATATTTATGGGTTACAGGTCTCCGTAGAGGGTGAGTAGCAGTGATCCTCGAAGGCGATATAAAAAGATGCCGCTACCGAAGCGACTGGTGGAACCGGTGCTGGTCGCACGCGGCACCATCCCCGAGGATTTTCCTTTGCCCTCTGAATTAGAAGCTGTTACCAATGGCACGTTGGCTAATACCATCAGGCAACTTTCTAGCCTGTCCAGGCACGCGGAGGACCTGTTCGGCGAATTAGCGAGAGAGGCACATGGACTGAGCGATAGGGCTAATTCCTTGCAGGCTAGGATAGATCGGCTAGCTGTTAAGGTTACGCAGTTGGACAGCAGCGTTGAAGGAGGTTCGTTTATTAATTAATTATTGGTATTCGTTGATGTGGTATGTCTGATACTTCATCATGTGATGACAGAAATAGTCGGTTACACGTATGTTGGATGTACTACATGTAGTTCAAGTTATGTTGCGATAATTAATTATTGTGTAGGATGATATCTGAAGGTTGCGTTTGTTATTTCAGTGTCACTACAGGATATACATATGAGGAAGGCGTTCAAGAGTTCGGTGGTATTCGACCAGCAAGTTGTCTCCAGGGATACCATGCCGACGGCCATGTTGGAAACCTACCATCAATGCGATACACCACCTCCTCTTGACAAACTTAACGTTTACAGGTACTTCATTCGTTTTTAGTCCATGTGTTACACGATTTGTAAATTTAGTGCCATGGTAATTTAAGCATTTGATCATTGATGGATTTGGTAACCCTAATCCAGTGATTACCAAATCATCAATGATAATTTGAGGTAATTTGAGGATCAATAATTTCTGTAATTTAATATAAGAACTTAACACCCTGTGAACTGTACACCCTGTTTCAACAAATATTTAATAAATATTAAATGTTAGTATTAATTTTAATAAACATTAAATGCTAGTATTGATGTTAATAAACATTAAATGTCATTTGATAGAATTACAAGATCAAAGTTCAGAGGGTGAATATACAAGCAAAATGAATGAAAATTATAATCTAAATTAATATCCCAAATTTCTGTTTCCAGGGAAGACGGTAAGGACGGATTAAAATTCTACACAGATCCGAATTACTTCTTCGACTTGTGGAGTCAAGAAATGCTAAAAGATACCGAGAAGAAGTTACACGACCGAGGGAAGAAGGTGAGGGACCGCCATTTCCTTCTTCGTTATCTAAACGTGCACCTCGAGCATTTTTTTTCCGCTTTTTTTTTCTTTGTATCTCGATTGCTATGTCAATTATTCACGAACAAAATTGTTATAAATATATAAAAATAAAAATGTATAAATATAATGTAAAGCGAGGCACACTGTTGCATACACGAAGTAACAATAATACACTATCGAGGTGCGCAATGAACACGATATACAATATTTTGTTACAATTATACTTATAATACAATTCTAACCATTGAAACTGTCCCCTTACGTTATAGACCGAGTCTGAATATGCCGAACCGTTCAGAGAGGCAAGTCGATGGTTTGGATCTTTGTAGTTTTCTTTTTTCTGTTGTTACTTTACATTACCCTTTTATCCAGTTTTAATGAATTATCGATCGCCAACCACTCACTCATACATAATCAAGCTCTCACTTCTTTTGTGGTTTTTTCATTAACCGATACCGTTTTTTGCGCTGATAGAAATTGCGCTATAGATGCTCGCTTGACAAAGTTTGTAGTTTATACATGCTAGGGCTAGCAAATGACATCGCATTCTTCAATGTTCTCGATCACCCCTTGGCAATACGGTTTTGTTGCGTAGATCGAATATTTTCTGAAGGTTTTAATTTTGTGACACAAATTTTTAGACGTTTTTGAGTTAAGGTAAATACAGAGGTGAGGTGGGGAAGGGTGAGTTTGGGGAATTTGGAGTTTGGGGGATTTGGAATTTGGGGGATTTGGAATTTGG